GTCTAAAGTTTTTTCACAGATGTGACAAATGGTTGCATTTCTAAACCTAAACTCATCATCTGCACTCATATTTATGGGCTTGATGGTGCTTAGGTAACAAGTATAAATATCGTTTACATCTCTGATAAGAGACTTGACGAATTTTATGCCTGCATCTACCCCAGTTTCTAGAACAAGCTTATCTAATGTTGGATTACAGGCGCACTTTATATGGTACGAATAAGCTATGGGGATATGCTGAGAAGTTGCTATAACATTCTCACTCAATTGCGAATTGAGGGGGCTTAAAACACACTCAAAATCTGCGTATACAACAAAAGGTACGTCTAAACTACGACTAAAATTCTTAAAACTAAGACTTGCTTTTTCTTCCACAGGGAGCGTTGACACAACCTTCCCACACTGTTGACGGTACTGTGTATGCATCCTCTCATTATGTGAAAAATTCACACACATCTTACAGAAGTACAATTGCGTCTTGTGCGATGTAAGTTGACGTCTTACAAGTCTGGAAGTATAAAAAAACAAATATATTTGTTTTAAAAAATTTTGTTTTTGGAAAAGAGTATTTATTTAAATATTACCTTGACAAATTTTTTATCCACACAAAATGTCCGCGCTCCTCACTCTCCAGCAACATAAGGCTTATGTGTGTATTCTTCTCCATCTCCGTCACATACAATGGTCCGTTGACTGCATTGGACTGCTCATCGAAACCAAAAACATTGATGCTAATGTTTTGGTTTTGAGCTTCAAAAATTTTTATTTGATCCAATGGGAGAAAAATCCAAATTGGAAAAATTGAGCGTGAGTGCTCCATCAATTTGTATTGAGTCGCTCTCAATCGTATCAACTTTATATGCTGAGCATCGTGCAGGCTGATTGCATTTTGCATTTTTAACATTGATGATCGCCTTCTTGTTCCTCAAAACTTTTGGTGTTTCAATAAAGCTTGAAACTTTGAGTGGAGTATATTTGTTTATATTTATCTCCAGTCTTAATATTTGAGACAATGTCCAACCACTGTCCTTCTCTTGGAACTCATCCATTTTCACACAAATTATAGCTGAGTGATCTTTGATGATCTCTCCAAGATCACTAGATGCTGTTATGACACTCATATTAGACTGATGAGATTTAATTGTCATCAGCAATTCATCATCAGTGAATTTTATATACTCTGCAAAGAGTTCAATATTCATTTTGCATGCTGTGTGAGTTAGCAATACATTATGAATTAATGGAAGAGTTTCTTGAGCTGCTTCACCCAGAAACTCTGTTGGATCGACTACATTTTTGTGTTTATTCTCAAATGAGAATGTCGAGATCCGATTCTTAAATCCGCTCGAAATTAATTTCACCTGACTATTTACAGGCGTAAAAACGAGCATCTTGTGGGCATTGGAACGAAGATGCGCGCTCCACTTTGATGATGCAATTTGTATATTGCATGCGGTGCAGACCCTGGCTTGAGTTGGTACTCCATTACAGATGATATTGGAAGCGACGGAGTTGGTGTTATTGGTGGTGGTGACGGAGTTGATGTTGTTGGTGGTGGTGACGGAGTTGATGATGGAGCTGGTGTTGGTGGTGGCGGTGGTGACGGAGTTGATGATGGGGCTGGTGTTGGTGGTGGTGATGTTGGGATTGGTGATGATATTGTTGTTGATGATGGAGTTGGTAGAATTGGCGGGCATGCCTGTATTAGCCACATAAGTTAAGTGGTCGAAATAATTTGGGTGGCTCTGTCCTTGAGTCGAGTTATTCCGGGCGACATAGTTGAATCCCTTGACGGCGTTGACGGAGTTGTTCTTGTTGTTGAACATTTTTTTTTTTTTTTACTTTCTTTTTAAAACATTGAAAGCACAAACAAACGAGTTGCCGATTGTAGAGTTCGAAAACTACTAAGGTTTTAGAAATCAGAATCTATAATATTAGGTATGAAGCCCACAGGTGCACAAAGCAACGCAGGCTATTATTTCAAATTATTGTGAAATTAACATAAGGAGGGTCACTCAAACAGAGTGCACTGTAAAAAGGGAGAGAACCAAATACACGAAGAAGGTACCAGCACGTGGTAAACGTACGTGCGAAGTACCTACTTAACAACAGTTTACACCAATAATACTTTAATTATTGGGCGGGAAAACATTCAGGTGTGAGGTCTCGTATGAGTTCTATGCATTGACAAAAAAGTGACAAAATAGAAGCGAGTATTACCTTTCCACTGATCATTGCACCCACCCTCAATAATCAAATCATGAACAGGCACAACAGTGCGCCAGCTGCTAGCTGATATGTACGTAACAGGACGCTGCACAACGACTTCGGTACACCGACAGTCAGACAACAAATTAACCGACATACGAGTCGGTATAATGACCGGTTGCACAACCACGTTAACCCTTTGGCTTGCACATTTGGGTCAAATACAACGTGCAGGAGGTTGCACTGTTGGGCGTTAAATTAATGTTCTATAAAGTAATTCTTCATGCTCACAAATCAATGTTTTATAGCCTTTCAATTGGTTGATTATTGTTTAAATATAATTGCTACATAAAAAAAAAAAATGGAAATGGTGTAGCAATAATAATGAACTACTACAAGGTCCCAAAAAAATACATAATTTCAAATGTTCAGGTGGAGGATACCGCATATGAGGACTGCACTATTAAGACCCTGGGAATCATCTGGATACCCAAATTAGATATTTTATGTGGTAAAACAGATATAGAAGAAGTAGTAGATAGAAGAAGAGATGTCATGTCTGAAATCTGCAGAATATTCGATCCTCTGGGACTCTTCTCACCAGTGGTCATGAGGGCAAAAATATTCATGCAACATCTAACAAAGGAAGGATTTGAGTATAAAGAAGATCTTCCAGTGCATCTTCGAAGAATGGAAACGATACACGGAGGAGCTGAACATTCTCAACACTATTCAATTGCCACGTCACATATTTCGTGGAAAACTACCTGTATCATGTAATGATTCGCTTGTCGAGCTTATAAATTTAGCTTTCTCCTAAAAAGGGGCAATAATTTGTGCGTTTCACATATAGCGCCATCTATGAGCCATTGTGGTGAGCTTCCAAAAAAATAAAAGAAACAATAAGAAAGGAAATTCCAAAATTGTTGAAATAAAGGATGAAGCAAAATTCAGCCAAAACGTGTCTTCATAAGTTCTTTTGACCGCGGACACATTCTTTTCATTTCCTAGCCTTTGAGCGCGCAAGTTGTGGACGTTGCAAACATTGAAAAAAAAAAAAATTTTAATAAAGTTAAATGTTGGGATTTGATGTACAGTGTAATAGAAAAATTAGTGTCTAAAGGAGAAAAGCCTACAACTAATAAATGTCGCCGCAGCAAGCTGCTGCACAAAACGCTTTTTATATCAGTGCCTATTCTGAAATTTGTCAAGGGTAAATGAATTAACAACCATTCAAAAAATGACACCAATTTAAATAAATGTATTGTTTTAGAATGGGCACTTAATACGGTGCTTAATATGGATTGGTAGTTCGTGAAAGATGGGATTAATGGAAGCAACAAATTGAGAAGTTAATAAATATAGCGCCTTTGCCACGTCCATGTTCACGGTGGAGATGTCTGTGCTAAGTTGATTGCCCAAATTGCTGTATTTAAGGTGTCTAAGAGAGTCTCTCTTAAAACTCGCCCTTGGCGCACGCCTTAACCTTCGATCATACCTAAGGAGAATATGTAAAAGGGCATCGAGCGCATCTCATTAGCATTCCTAGACCGAACTTAAACGGATGAACATCGTCAACTGTTTGCGGACCTTCTGCTACATTCCAAGCCTATCAGCTTTACCCAGCTACCTCATGGAGTCAACTTTAATAATTACAAAAGTAGTAAGGAGTTAGAGCAATTTCCTTCCTCTTTTTTATCTTTATATACAAAAGTGAATAATGAAAAAATTAACCTCAGTGAAAAATTCAATATTCATATGTCTAGCAAATAGAAAAAGCTCGTTCACGTGTGCACTCGGCGAAGTAAATGAGTAAAAGTTAAATTAAATGTAATTTGAAAAGAAATTTTTTTTTTGTTTAATTAATCATAAAAATTATAATAATAATGCAAGTGAAAGAAAAAAAAATGGAAATTGTGACGATTCTGTGTAATTAAGAAAAAATTATATTTTATATAACTAATAAGTACCCTCTATTTAGAATTGCATGCGGAATGAAAAACACACAAAAATTTGTCTCAGCGTACGGCTTATGCTTACAGCGAGCTTTCGCACGTGGCGCGTGTCAAAACGCTCACTCCCATGATCATTATCCGCTGCGAGCTTTCGCACGAGGCTTGAAATATTTGCACTCTCTCTTCATAACTAATTACAGCGACACACACACACACCAACACCAGGACGTACTTCCAGCGTGGGATGATGTATGTAATTTACTCTCTTTCTTTATTATGAGTCGCGCTTTCGCAAGCTACTCTTTAAACTTGAGCAACTGTACTTTTACAACAGCAGCTGCGCTAATCAACTATATATCTTCCTTTAAATTATTTTTGTTTGTTATTCAAAACGCAAGGCGACCATGCTCTGAATGCATAATATTCATATAAACTAATATATCCCCTAAACCTATATATATATATACCCCACACAGCGATTAATATTAGATTCGATCGTATTACTATTATACAAAACACAAGAAACAAAAACAAGTGTTAGTTTTTTTTTGATTTTGTTCTTACCTGCATATCGAATAGATTTAAAAGAAAATTGTTGCATGAAATCATATATTAGAAGAGGTGCATGCCCGGGTTGAATTGATGATGCATGTATCTACTGCAGGACCACTTGCAGACAGTAACCGCGCTGATCATTTTTTGTTAAATAATTTAATTAAAAATCTCTCTGCAAACATGTATATAACTAGAATTATCGCTTCTTAGTATATATAACTATAATGTTCTAATGGTATTAATCAAACTTATATTTAATATTTAAATGTATTGAATTCGTTGTTAAGTGGATAACATGCAGTTCCTGATGGAGGTAGGATAGCTGCCGTAGGTCATCCCAAAGAATCCTGATGTATATATCGGGCCGCAGGATCATGGCAGGGTGGGCGAGTGCGCCAAAAAGGTAGCACCACAATAAAAAAAAAAGGATGACCTGATTGCTTGAGTGTTCCGATCCTCCTATTACTTTTGACCTTTTTCTTCTTTCTCATGTCCATGGTCTGTCTTCGTCTGTCGTTCTTTATGTAAAAATATAGTACGCGATAAATAAATAAATATAACTAATAACTAGGAAGCCATTTTAATATGTCGGTTGACCAATAATAACCCACCCCAATTGCCGGCGAGCATCGGCCCGAGCAAGCGCGTACTCCGAACGTATTAATAGCCCATCTGCTCCACGTTGTTCATTACAGTTATTTATAATTAGTTATAATATTATTTTGGCGCCCAACGTATGGGGCCTGTTTCAAGTAAAAATATTAGTGTTCAATAAGCTAACAGGAGGTTAATCGAAAGGCCATCGGTTAGGCTTCCGATCTACAGTAGTATTGAAAAAAAAGAAGAGAAACCATACTAGTATTTTGCACCTGTACAGGCTCACAAATTTCGAGGTCAGCTACTTCTGATGTAGCAGCTATCTGCTTACACAAATGACTTCATATCCCCATACCTTTGTCCTTGTTTTGATATTAGAGATGTAGTAATATTATTCGATTCAAAAATATTGATAATGACCGTCTCAGTAAACAAAACAATATTGCGCTCGTGTAAGTTCTAGGAACAATTACAATTTCAAAATAATTGTGTTGCCAGACTCACAATGCACAAGCGCAAATTCCTCCTAGTGGTGCTACGATTGGTGTAACGCTTTAGCTGGACGAGGATTCATGGATAATTAAGCTATGATCCGCCGCTGAGTGGAACATTAAAAGTAGTTACTCCCTACGTGTCTGTGGACATACCTACAAACCAAAATATTGGGCCGGATTCGGGTGTCGCTGGATTCAACTCAGGTGGTTGGTCGCGCCATTTGGATCGGGTTTAATATCGCGGATCACAGTCTATTTTCTTAGTAGTTGAGCATTTGATTCTATTCCGGATGCGACAGTCTTTTGCCGGAGGAGTATAGTTCCTATTGGCTGGTGCTTCTTCTTCTTAAATCAAGTAAAGGTCGGCATACCTACTCTCAAGAAGGAATTCGCATTGTTGTCCACACTCAAATAATGAATTTTGAATATATCGCTCGACGTAAATTAGCTTTTTTTTCTTTTCTTTTTTAAGTAATCTTTAGCACATGGTTTGCTTTTGTTTCTCATTTATATGAATCATTTTAATAGTTTGCTATGTTAGTATAGCAATGTCAGTAAGTCGAAGTATTGACAATTTAAATTCTCTTGCTAATTTGGAAAGTGTGAGTTGTTGCGTGTGTACATTAGAGGTGGAACACCCGGCACAGCTTCTAGCCACCAGTTGTAACCATTATTTTCACCATACTTGTTTTAACAATAGATCAGGTAACAAACGAGTTTGTCCTATTTGTAGAACTTCACTTAGTACTTCAACTCAGAATTTGGCAGTTGAGTTAGCTGCATCGCAGCCTGCTAAGGTGGCATTGAAGCCCCAAAACGTTATAACACGATCTAAGTCTAAAGTCGTTAAAGTTATAACGGAAGCTATGCCTAAAGTCGCTACAACAGGAAAAATGCAGACTTCAAAGGCGGGAATTAGCTCGGTATCAGCGGTAAGGCAGGGAAATGAGTCGTGTACAGTTCCTCAGTCCAACCCCGTCGAAGTAATAGCTACTACTAGCACAGAGCTAAGTGCTAATCAAGAGGCAAGAGCGTCTCAGCAGTCGCACCCAGTTGTGGACCAAAATATCGCTCACAACCTGCTTGCTACCAACTTGCAACAAACTGTTGTCAGCGCCATGGCGACAGCAATTGCTCAACAGACCCAACTTTTGTCTCAAGCCATTGAGACAGGGTTTCAAAGACTAGCAATGCAGAATCCTGTAGGCAACCCTGCAGATGTACAGCCATCTGCTAGGCCATCTGTTCATAGTAGAGAACGACAAACGTTTGAACAACTATTTCAACTCCCTGGTCCAGGAGATTCGGAAAATGTCCCTAGTAACGGTGTACCGCCAACAAGTAGTTTCACGCCAATAGGATCGCAGCAGTGCGAAAGCTTACGTTCTGATAGATTTAGCCAGATTATTTCTAATTGGAAGTTGAGATTTTCGGGACGTTCATCGTTATCGGTAGAAGAATTTATATATCGCGTAGAAGCTCTTACAGCACAGTCGTTGGATGGCAACTTTGAGCTGCTATCTCGCTATGCTAGTAACTTGTTTGAAGACAGCGGTAGCGAATGGTATTGGAGATACCATAAAAGTGTTCCGTGCGTTTGTTGGCCAGACTTGTGTCGAGCGTTAAAGGCCCATTTTAAAGATGGTCGAACGGACTTAGACATTCGCACAGCCATTTCGTTGAGAAAACAAAAATACCACGAACCTTTTGACACCTATCATGAGGCTATTATGTTGTTAGCCGATAGGCTTACACAGCCTATGTCCGAGCAGTCTTTGCTTGAGGTGCTGCAAGCAAATTTATTACCGGAAGTGCAGCATGAGATTTTGTACGTACCGATTTATAATCTAGAGCAGTTGCGACATGTCGTACGCAGAAGAGAACGGTTCATGAAAGCAGTTACAAAAACTAATGTTCCTTCTCAGCGCCTAATTCCAGGACGGCAGGTTCACGAAATTGCAATGCAAACAGATTGCGAGCAGGAGTTAGAAAATCCAGAGATCGCTGCTATGAATGTTTCGTGTTGGAATTGTGGGAGACATGGTCATCGATACCAAGAATGTGAAGCAGAACGTAAAGTGTTCTGTTACGGATGCGGAAGGCGTGACACATACAAACCGTCATGTACCAAGTGCAATGCTTCAAAAAACGAAGTGTCGCGTGCACCGTCGACCAGTGCACGCAAACTTGTTTCGAAGGGAACGAACACCGAGTAACTGATGAAATGATCAGTTCACTCGATCAACTACCGGACTTGACTTTACTCGTTAGTAGTCCGTTAGATCATAGTTCAACAAACTTGAACGAAAAATTACCTGATGTTACTAAAGTCGGTCATAGCTATTACGAACTAGAAGATTTACAAGGCCGCCCAATTGGCAAATATCACGCAAAGGACATTAAACAATGATAACCTTATCTACATTAATTTGTGCTCTCCAAGCGTTTATCACTCTTTGATGTTTTCAACACCAAAGTGTGATTTTGGCGGAAGGGTGTGTAATGATTCGCTTGTCGAGCTTATAAATTTAGCTTTCTCCTAAAAAGGGGCAATAATTTGTGCGTTTCACATATAGCGCCATCTATGAGCCATTGTGGTGAGCTTCCAAAAAAATAAAAGAAACAATAAGAAAGGAAATTCCAAAATTGTTGAAATAAAGGGTGAAGCAAAATTCTGCCAAAACGTGTCTTCATAAGTTCTTTTGACCGCGGACACATTCTTTTCATTTCCTAGCCTTTGAGCGAGCAAGTTGTGGACGTTGCAAACATTGAAAAAAAAAATTTAAATAAAGTTAAATGTTGGGATTTGCTGTACAGTGTAATAGAAAAATTAGTGTCTAAAGGAGAAAAGCCTACAACTAATAAATTTCGCCGCAGCAAGCTGCTGCACAAAACGCTTTTTATATCAGTGCCTATTCAGAAATTTGTCAAGGGTAAATGAATTAACAACCATTCAAAAAATGACACCAATTTAAATAAATGTGTTGTTTTAGAATGGGCACTTAATACGGTGCTTAATATGGATTGGTAGTTCGTGAAAGATGGGATTAATGGAAGCAACAAATTGAGAAGTTAATAAATATAGCGCCTTTGCCACGCCCATGTTCACGGTGGAGATGTCTGTGCTAAGTTGATTGCCCAAATTGCTGTATTTAAGGTGTCTAAGAGAGTCTCTCTTAAAACTCGCCCTTGGCGCACGCCTTAACCTTCGATCATACCCACCAACTTATGTATGTCGTGCTAAGGAGAATATGTAAAAGGGCATCGAGCGCATCTCATTAGCATTCCTAGACCGAACTTAAACGGATGAACATCGTCAACTGTTTGCGGACCTTCTGCTACATTCCAAGCCTATCAGCTTTACCCAGCTACCTCATGGAGTCAACTTTAATAATTACAAAAGTAGTAAGGAGTTAGAGCAATTTCCTTCCTTTTTTTATCTTTATATACAAAAGTGAATAATGAAAAAATTAACCTCAGTGAAAAATTCAATATTCATATGTCTAGCAAATAGAAAAAGCTCGTTCACGTGTGCACTCGGCGAAGTAAATGAGTAAAAGTTAAATTAAATGTAATTTGAAAAGAAATTTTTTTTTTGTTTAATTAATCATAAAAATTATAGTGATAATGCAAGTGAAAGAAAAAAAAAATGGAAATTGTGACGATTCTGTGTAATTAAGAAAAAATTATATTTTATATAACTAATAAGTACCCTCTATTTAGAATTGCATGCAGAATGAAAAACACACAAAAATTTGTCTCAGCGTACTGCTTATGCTTACAGCGAGCTTTCGCACGTGGCTTGTGATAATCGCTCACTCCCATGATCATTATCCGCTGCGAGCTTTCGCACGAGGCTTGAAATATTTGCACTCTCTCTTCATAACTAATTGCAGCGACACACACACACACCAACACCAGGAAGTATTTCCAGCGTGGGATGATGTATGTAATTTACTCTCTTTCTTTATTATGAGTCGCGCTTTCGCAAGCTACTCTTTAAACTTGAGCAACTGTACTTTTACAACAGCAGCTGCGCTAATCAACTATATATCTTCCTTTAAATTATTTTTGTTTGTTTTTCAAAACGCAAGGCGACCATGCTCTGAATGCATAATATTCATATAAACTAATATAGCCCCTAAACCTATATATATATATACCCCACACAGCGATTAATATTAGATTCGATCGTATTACTATTATACAAAACACAAGAAACAAAAACAAGTGTTAGTTTTTTTTTGATTTTGTTCTTACCTGCATATCGAATAGATTTAAAAGAAAATTGTTGCATGAAATCATATATTAGAAGATGTGCATGCCCGGGTTGAATTGATGATGCATGTATCTACTGCAGGACCACTTGCAGACAGTAACCGCGCTGATCAACTGGCATTTTTTGTTAAATAATTTAATTAAAAATCTCTCTGCAAACATGCATATAACTATAATTATCGCTTCCTTGTATATATAACTATAATGTTCTAATGGTATTAATCCAACTTGCATTTCTAAATATAAAATACCTATATCTTTCTAAGTTTAATATTTAAATGTATTGAATTCGTTGTTAAGTGGATAACATGCAGTTCCTGATGGAGGTAGGATAGCTGCCGTAGGTCATCCCAAGGGATCCTGATGTATATATCGGGCCGCAGGATCATGGCAGGGTGGGCGAGTGCGCCAAAAAGGTAGCACCACAAAAAAAAAAAAAGGATGACCTGATTGCTTGAGTGTTCCGATCCTCCTATTACTTTTGACCTTTTTCTTCTTTCTCATGTCCATGGTCTGTCTTCGTCTGTCGTTCTTTATGTAAAAATATAGTACGCGATAAATAAATAAATATAACTTTTTTTAATATGTCGGTTGACCAATAATAACCCACCCCAATTGCCGGCGAGCATCGGCCCGAGCAAGCAAGGAACAATAACCGTTCTATTTGCAAACGAAAATGGGATCATTGATGCAATTACACTTTTCTTTTACCTCTATCCTATCGTTTCTCTTTTCCAAATCTTTTTGGGGGTCAAATAAATCAAGTAAAGGTCGGCATACCTACTCTCAAGAAGGAATTCGCATTGTTGTCCACACTCAAATAATGAATTTTGAATATATCGCTCGACGTAAATTAGCTTTTTTTTCTTTTCTTTTTTTAAGTAATCTTTAGCACATGGTTTGCTTTTGTTTCTCATTTATATGAATCATTTTAATAGTTTGCTATGTTAGTATAGCAATGTCAGTAAGTCGAAGTATTGACAATTTAAATTCTCTTGCTAATTTGGAAAGTGTGAGTTGTTGCGTGTGTACATTAGAGGTGGAACACCCGGCACAGCTTCTAGCCACCAGTTGTAACCATTATTTTCACCATACTTGTTTTAACAATAGATCAGGTAACAAACGAGTTTGTCCTATTTGTAAAACTTCACTTAGTACTTCAACTCAGA